ATCCTATATACATTGTACATACACAGTAAACGTGGAAAAGGCGTGATTTTTTTTCTGTGAGGAAAGCAAGTCTAGTGGCAAATTCCTTTCTTTGAAGTTGTAAATATTGCCAAGGGCAACATGTATATTTATTGGTTTTCACAACATTATATATATAAATATAACTTATATTATTATTATTATATATATAAATAAATTATATTATTATTATACAGGGAGTTAAAAAATTATACCGACAATTTTGAAATCTTAACTTTTGACTTCTTTTTAACTTTTAATTAATTAACTAGTTTTTACCCAACCCTGTAAAAAATTAATTATTATCCTCTTTAAAAAATCTAAATTTTTAAGAATATATAAAAATTTTCTTCTACATGATTTTCAATGCCAAAAAGATTTTAGCAATCACTTGGCTTAATTTGACATTTATTTTTATTAAAAAATTGTTATTACAAAAAATAATAAGATAGAGAATATCTGAACAATTAATTATTATCCTCTTTAAAAAATCTAAATTTTTAAGAATATATAAAAATTTTCTACATGATTTTCAATGACAAAAAGACTTTAACAATCACTTGGCTTCATTTGACATTTATTTTTATTTAAAAAATTTTATTAAAAAATTGTTATTACAAAAAATAATAAGATAGAGAATATCTGAACAATTAATTATTATCCTCTTTAAAAAAATCTAAATTTTTAAGAATATATAAAAATTTTCTACATGATTTACAATACCCAAAAGACTTTAACAATCACTTGGCTTCATTTGGCATTTATTTTTATTTAAAAAATTTATCGAAAAATGTTTATTACAAAAAATAAAAGATAGAGAATATCTGAAAAATTAATATCCTAATTATTATCCTTTTTAAAAAAATCTAAATTTTTAAGAATATATAAAAATTTTCTTCTACACGATTTTCACTGACAAAAAGACTTTAACCATCACTTGGCTTCATTTGACATTTATTTTTATTAAAAAATGTTTATTATAAAAAACAATAAGACAGAGAATATCTGAAACATTAATTATATTATTCTCTTTAAAAAGATCTAAATTAAAAAAAAAAACGCGAAACTTTGTAAAAAATAAAAAATGAAAGCCGCGGGAAAAAATAAAATGCATCGCAAGTAAAGTGAACGCATCAATTTACAATGCTGTTGCGTGCAGCGCGAATGTTGCATTTACGAGGTTGTGACGCGAGGAAAGGTTCAACGTTACGCGCACGTGGAGTGCGCGTACGGTCGGAGCTGCGTGGGCATTATCGATTGTCACGCGTGCCGACGCGACGCCGCCAGCTGTGTCGGCCCACCGGGTTCGCGTGGTTCGCCATCGGGCCGGGGACGCCGGAGAAAAGCAGGGAAAACTCGCAATAAAGCGCAGTTGTACTTGTCACACTCGAGCGCGCGCCTGAACGCAAGAGCGCGGAATTATCAATGCGCGCGTTCTACTTATTGTCGCGCATAAAAAATTGCGCGCTATGCAGAAACGAGAGGCGCGCGCGCGGTCTTTTCCTTTTTCGCTTCTCGCGAGAAAAGAGAAAAAGAAGCCGGGAGAGTGTTTCTGTGTCTCGAAGAGAGCACGTTAGATCATTAAAATGTATACTCCTTTTTTTTCAAGTTTGCTTGTTTTGTTTTATAATTTGTGAAACTCATTTTCCAAACCACTGTTGAATTTGTGCTAAACAAATATTGTATTAATAATTTAACATAAAAAATGCAGTTTCAAGTAATTTCTAATAAATTTTGGGTAAAATTGACATAGCTTTAAAATGTAAAAATTAACAAAAAAATTTTACATTTTATTATCCCCAGTTATTAAAATAAAATCAACATATTTTCCTGTAAATTTTAATAGACAAATTTTGTCACTAATAATACGGAACATATTTATTATGTGAAACTAAAAATGGATGCATATTCTGTGTTTTTCAATTGTTATAATTCAATTAAACACAACAGTAATATATTAAATTGACAGATGAATGTGACAGAAAAATTTTAACGGGACCTTTTTTAACAAAAGAAAACAAATTTTCCAACTGTGAAGAGAAAGAAAAAGAGAAATTGTACTGATATTAATTATCTTAAAATATCCTTTTGAACATATTCTCTATTTTCTGCTTCCCTACATATTTATCTATTTTAAGATTGCACTTCTCTTTTGTATAAAAACTTTGCCATTAACCATTTATCGATCTTATATAACTCATATTTTCAACACAATTTTTTCCTAACGTATTATAAATTGCTTCCTATATATTTTTCTACATAAATTCTTACATTATATATACATTTTTTCCAAGATATATATATATATAACCCATATTATTGACGGAAGGGTAAAAAAGCTCTCTCTTGCAAAGGTTGCATGTCACGATCGTGTTTTATAATTAATCAACTAACAGCCGGAAAAATACGCATCTCTCGATATTTGCAAAATGTAAATTTCCTCAACGCGAGATATAACGCAATGGATAATTCTCTCCCTGACGTAATCATAATGGAATTAATTCTTCTAAGAAAGGAGAAAAGACAAACAAAGTCATTAGAGTTATAACTCAGACCTGTGTTATTACACCAAATTTCACGCGATGAGTAGCACGTTTTCGCAACAACTGCCTCGCTTTTCGCAATATTTACGACTTCAGAAAAGACAAAGGAATTTGCCACTACTTGCTTTTCTTACCGAAAAAATCACGCCTCGTTCACGTTTACTGGTCTCACGCTTGAATCATTCAGATTCTTGAAACGATAGGCGATTTTTTAAAGTACAAGAAAGCAGAGAGCCTTAATTGGGCGTAACATCGCAATTACAGATATACACTTAATTAATAGCATTTAAGACATATTAATTTAAGGCAGAGAATATTAATTTACTACTGCTCAAATTTAATTAAATATCACAAGCTTTTATTTAACTTAAATGATGACTTTTCCTAAATAAAAAAAAAACATATTTAAGTGATTCGGATAGATATATTTAATAAAAATAATTTAATAAAAATAAAAAAAATAGATAAAAATTTAATAAAAAATTTTCCAGAATTACTGCTCAAATTTAATTAAATATCACAAGCTTTTATTTAACTTAAATGGTAACTTTTCCTAAATAAAAAAACATATTTAAGTGATTCGGATAGATATATTTAATAAAAATATTTTAATAAAAATATTTTAATAAAAATAATTTAATAAAAATAAAAAAAGAAATAAAAATTTAATAAAAAATTTTGCAGAATTTCGAGAGAAAGAGCGCGATAAAGGTTTTGAGTTTCGCCGCGAACTTTCCACATTCCTAGCTGTCATTTATGAAGAATACTAAAAACGGTTTTCTCCCGCCTGTACTCTTCATTACGGTGATGCTGACCATAATTTCATATTTACACTTAATCATTTGCATGGCGCGCGCCACGTGTGCGTGACGATGCCGCGAGGCCGCCTAATTTATCACGCGGGAATCACATATACCAACGACCGAATTTCCTTTCATTCATGCGCTTTCACCCGCCGCTCAAGACGCGTCTCTCAGATTTAAGATATTTTTCTATTTTCTTTAATTTTTTTTTTTATAAAGTGTTATGCATAAAAAAGAGAGTGAAACGAAAAAGGTGAAAATAATAATTGGCTCTGATTTTTTAATTGCCGTTAATCAATTTAATTTGACAATTTAGCCGGCTATTAGATTCATTCACAAGTTTATGCATATTTATTATCTATATTAAATATATCTGTAGTTTATTTTAGATAGCATAAAAATTTCTATTAAGATGGTAATAAAATAAGAAATATATTTAGACTAATAATAGGGATATATCCTATGGAAAATTACTAAAATTAATTAGCTGTCATTTTTAGACACATGAGAGCAGAAAAAGTAAAGTTGATGCAGAAAATAATCGGAAATATTTTTATTATTTAAAAAAAATTGATAAAAATGTCAAGTATCAACAATCCTAATTTTCGATGCGCAAATTAAAATGGAAAGAGGAACAAAGCCTTTTTCGGAACACTTTTGAGATGCCAATCACCATAGGAAATAAAATTAATTACAAACGTTTATTAAATGATAAAAAATATCTCCTATTGTTATTTAGTCCATATGTACATAAAATCGTCAATCATCAATTAAAAATTATTTTATTTTGTTTATTCTTTATATTTAAAAATGAGAGCTGATTAGTTTCTCGTGAAATACTCCATATTTATCAAGGGAACACCGAAAAAATTGTATACTTAGCGCCAAGAGAATTCTCTTAATTTAAGAAATTTCTCTAAATTTTAGTATATTTTTTTCTGAAAATAAGAATAAATTAAGAATATTATCTTAAATTAAGAGGATCCTCTCGGCGCTATTTTTCGGTGAAGAAAAAATTAAATATATTTTTAATCGCGTGATTTGCTTGAAAAATTCTTCAGAAGTAAACATGAATTTATAGATTGATTTTAATCACAATCAAATGAAATTATATGCCAATTATAATCGCTCGTATCATTTTACGATCCTATCATATAACGAGATTGCTGTAGCATACTCGATGGTTGTATCAAAGCTGTATCAAAAGTCGCACACTTTCTCTCTCTCTCATTGTGATTTACAGATTCTCCATCGAGTCTTTCTATTAACGTGGGAAAGTTTATGGGAATTTTCAAATGTAGAAATTATTTATAAAATTTCAATATCTATAAATAAAGAATAAAATAAAAATCTCAATGTATGTCATGTAAACAGGAACTCACAATAGCCCTACTTAGAACATTCTCTCATTTATTAATTAATTTATTATTTATTTTATTATTTATCGATTAATTTATTATTTATTAATTAATATTTATTTTATTAATAAATAATAAAATAAATCACATTGATTTATTAATAAATATTTTAAATATCTGTCACGTAATTAATTTTAGAACAATAATAGATGGTATAAAAAAAAGAGAAAGAATCCTCAAAAAAATATAATAAAATGTCGAAAAAAGAGATGACTTACCCGACGTGAGAGACATCGCCTGCTGCGATCTCCTGGACCGCGAGTTGTCCCGCTTTCCGGCGGCCGATTGCGAACCGGAAACTTGAAGACCCGGCGCGCTGACGGCGCGTTTGGGCCCGATCGCGCCGGGCCCTACGTTGCTGTTCCTGGCGAAGCCGGGTGGCCGATACCGGGCGGACTTGACGCTGCTGTGCTGCGGCAGGAAGTGGTAGACGCTGTGGGCCTTGTGCATCGGCGACGCGGACGACGACGTCGACGACATCGTCGACGTCATCGTCGTCAGACCGGTGGGCGGACCGGATCCGGCCGGCAGTCGCGGCAGAGAATTCGTAGCCGCACTGATTGCGGATTGCATGCCACGTGGGAGAGTCGTCGCTCGCGATTCCCCGCCGTATTCCAGCTCATCCTCGGTGTCCTCGTCGCCGGCCGATGCACCTGCAACGATTAATCATTTTTTTTTAATTAATTTTGTATTAAAATTAATTTTTTTTAATATAATTTTTCTAGACTTTATTATTATCTTAAGATTAATTTCAATTATATTTATTTTCTCAACAAATATATTCGTCATACAGCCTGCTATTATTATTATTATTATCTTGTTGATTTATTATTTTATGATGTGCTTAAATATATCTATATATATGAAAATTGGATTATTTGTACTCAATTATTATATATTATTTTTAATTGTAATTAGAAGATTTGTTAATTATTTTTTATATTTTTCAAGATTAATTTCGAATGAACAAGTTAACAAATCTTTAAATTCGATAAATATTTACTAATATTCATTTTCATATTGAATTCTTTAATTTATTATTCGTATGACGATATCAATGTTATTTGTGAATATAATGAGTGCAATTAAATGATTAAGTGCTCCACAATTCTCGTCTTTTTTTATACAATATCATATTTATAAATATGTATTAAAATTCTTACAGATTTGAACAATTTAATTAATCTTGCGCTTATAATGAGTTTTGAAATGTTTTCCTTATCGATTCATGCTCTATAATTCTCAATAATGAAATGCAATCTAATAATTTGACATATTATGACAGCAAATAACTCGTGAAATATTTGAACAATATATTAATATTGCTACTTTTTTCAATGTTATCTTTTTTTTATAATTTTACTATTTATGTAAGATGCAAATATAATGAGCGCAGACATTTTATGCAACTTTTGAAAGACAAATGACTTGTATAAAATTTGCATAATATTCTAGACAGAATTTAAATCATAAGAATTATATTTGCGATATTTAATATATGCAATTGTACATCGATATATTTATTTTTATTAAAAAATATATTTTTATTAATGTACAAAATATTTATTCATAAGTATTACGCGTTCCTAAATTCTTATTCATTCGTGACTACGAAGAGAAGTTCTAACAAAACGGAAAAAAAAAAATTATTAAACGCGTCACAATTTTTATCTTTCTTTTATAGACGTATCAAAATTATATTGCCGATTTAAATCATTTAATTAATTTCTTACAATAAGTTTTGCATTGAAATGTTTTCCTCATCGATTCGTGCTTTAAAATTCTCCATAATGAGACATAATTCAACAGTTTGACATATCGATAAAATTCGAGCAATATCTAATTAATACTTTCGTTTACTTTATTTCAGCGTTATTTCCTTTAAATAATTTTTTTATATGTATATAGCACGCAAACTCATTTTTATCTATCGTGATACAACTAACTAAAAACAGAATCGCGTGCAGCATAAAATACACAATGCGCAGTGTACCCTTTACGCTTCTTAGCCCCGACTTAATTTACCAATACAAGTATAATTAAATTAAATTAGTCGGCGGCGCGCCCTCGTGCACACACTTATTTATTTATTCCACATAAAATATATATATCGCCATTATCGGAAGTGATCTGACCATAACGTGGCCAGTGGCGTAATTGCGGAAAAGGAATGTGTGCTCGGACGAGGGTCTGCGGCGAGGCAAAATCGAGCTGTAATGCCAATTACCGTCGTTTCCGCGATGTAATACAACCTGCGGGAGCATCTCGCATTCATTCACTTGCTCACACATACACCTGTATATATACAGGGTGTCTGACATAAAGTGTCACACGGAAAGTATGCAAGTAGATCTTGTTATTTAAGGACGATTTTTCCTCGGCAGAAATGTTGAGGCACCGATAAAGCGATTGAAAATAAAGGGTTTTTCGCAAACCTTCGGGAAATAAATGTTAAGAAAATTGTTTATTCGTTCAGAACTGGAAAAATTATTTAATTATTACTGTATTTTTTTTTTGCATATTTTTAAAGAAAATACATCTTCGTGTAAAAATATAGAAAAATTATTATTTTTATGCAAAAATTGCTTGTAATTTTAAATTTAATATTTTTATTTTATTAGAATTTTTTATTTTATAAGCATTTTTCCATTTTATTTCTAACATTATTTTATATACTAACATTTCCTATGTATAACTCCATGTTCAGTGGAATATTTTCAATCTTGAAAATATATAAGAATATATTTCACATGAAATTACATATAATCTGTAATATTCTATACGAGTATTGCTGGGTCGAAAAAAAAATCCAGCATCATCATGTAATTTCACACAAATATTTTTTTTTTCAGTGTAAAGTTTACTTTAATAAAATTTCAATTTCAGATTTAGTTATAAAGATACATGATGGCAAAAAATAATGGTCTCCCTCGACATTTTTACCGAGGAAAAATCGTCTTCAAATAACGAGATCTTGTATATTTTCGGTGCGCAGTGATAAAAATTTGTGAATGAAGATAATTTTGTTTCAAATATATCTACATAAAAGATAAAATTATATGGCGATTCATCTAGATAACTTTCAGGTAATATTATTTTTAAACGTATACTTATATAAACACATATTGTAAGTTTTATCGTTCACTTTTTTTTAAGATGCAGATATAGATAATACATATTTTTATTATCTACATAAAGATGAGATGACGCAAAATATTATCTAGATGATCATCGACATAATTTTCTTTAGACAACAACAATAACCCTGTCGGCGCGACACTCGATGTCAGACACCCTGTATATAAATACACGTAGCTAGATGGTCACGCATGAGCTCACCTGACTCTCCTCTGGTATTGGCATCAGGAACGGAGGATCTCCTCCGGTTGCTCCAGATCCTCTCTTCAACGGAGCCACCGACGGTTCCGCTATTTCCGCCGCCACTTCCGCCGCCGATCGAGCCGCAGCTTCTCACCCTGTCCAGCTGCTCCCTGGAGAAGCTCTTCGGGTTGAACAAGAGGTCGCCGGCGCTGCGTCGTTTCGCGGCCAGAGCACTCGCACTCGCACTAGCACTTCCACCACCGGCACCACCAGCACTTACGTCACCGGAACACGCCAACAGGCTCAATTTCGTCCTGGAATCGGCGGCCATCAGGGCCGACTCGAAACTACCTCGCCAGGAAAATCTCTCGTAATCACTGGCCTCTCGTTCCTCGCCTTCCTGGCAGATTCCGGCGGAGGCCGCCGGCTGACTGTTGATCAGCAGCAAAGGATCGTGGGACTTGGACCTGGGTAGCTGCAGATGCGCCGACGAGGGTGTATTCGCGGAATCGGAGGTCGAATCGTCGTCCTCGGTGGTGGACGTCGAAGACGGGGTCCGATGATGCTGGGAGTACCGTCTCCAGGTGGTGGAGTGATGATGCGCGGCGGGACCACCTTCCGAGACCTCGTGCATCAGCGCTACCAACCTGCTACCAATGTGGTGCATCACTTTGGCGATCAACGGCGGGCTGCTGTGCGGCGTGGAGTTGGCGTCCGAGCTCACGCCGTCGCCCGCCATCTTCGTGAAGCTCTGGACCAGCTTCTGGTAGACGAACGCGGTGTCTCTGCCCAGGCAGGGCGCGTTTTGCATCGCGGTACCAGAGCGCGGGCCTTTATCCTTGTCCGAGAGCGTCACGTCGCCGTTGTTGCCGCCACTTCCGGTCCCGCCGGATGTCGTGTCGAACTTGCTGATGATCTGCTGACAGCTCTGCGAGATCTGCTCCTGCAGAGCCGATCTACGCCCGCTGGCGGCGCCCTCAAGGTCGGAGCTGGTGTAATCCGAGCTGTCATATGAGTCCGACCACGTGTCTTCCGAGCTGAGGTACTCCACAATCTCTCGCACCTGCTCGTCGCGTATCCCCGGGACCGTCTTCATCAGTCGCGTGAGCTCGTTCTCGAAGTAGACCAGCTGCGGCGGTTTCGTGCGATTATTCTGCGCGTAGAGACGCGCCTTCGAAGCGTAACCGGGAAGTCGCGGACTCGGAGCGGGAGAGACTCCGCTGGAGTTCGCGACGCTCTGACCCGGTGGCGCCTGTCCGTTCGAATTGGCGACCATGGTCTTGAAGAACTGCCGCATCTTCGACATCATGAGATTCGTCTCCTCGTCGCTGGACCAGTTGTTGAAGCTGTCCTTGCGCGACAGCGAAGCGTTCGCCAGATGCGGCAGACTCGCATGGTTCACCGGATGCTTCGCCACGTTTCTCTCCGCGTTGGCGGCACCACCTTCGTCTACGGAACTCCGATTCGAGTTCTGAGAGTGCTCCGAGATCTTGTTGAGCAAGCGATCCTTGCCGACTTCCTGCTCCAGCTCCATCCCGCAGGTCTGGCTCTCGTCCGGTAGCTTCTGATGCTGAAGAAGATCGTCGCAGCTGCCGACGAAGCCCGAGTCCCGCGATTGCTGCTTCGATCGCTGCCCGTCGCTCGAGTTCACGGTAACCGAGCTCCTCGAAGAGTCCATCTGCGAAGACGAGGCCGTGTTCAACGTGTTACTGCTATTCGTGAGGGTAGACGGCGAGGAAGACGAGGATAGAATGGATTCCGGCTGCGGAGTTTTCGCTCTGTCCGAGTCCTCGGAGTTCATCGCCTCGTTGTCGTTCTCCATCACGATCTCGTTCATCAGCATCATTTCCCTACTGGGTTCCGGCGTCTTGTTCCGATCATCCGGGACACGTGGACTCTGAGTTCCCAGATTCCGCGGCTTCTTCTTCTTCCGCTTCACCGTGTCGAACTGACCGTCTGTGCCGAAGACCGCGGTTTGTCCGTCGTCGGTGCCGTCGGTCTCCGTGGAGGAACCTTCGGACTGAGTCTCCTGCGCGTCCTGATTGAGACTCAGATCCTGGAGGGAATTTTGCGAGCTCAAGTTCTGCGAGGTCTGCGTGAGCGCCAGCAAATTATCCAAAGAGGAACTGTGAGATCTGCCGGTGCCTCTCGCGCGTACCAATTTTTTTCTCCTCTGCGCTTCCGGACTGGGTCTACCTTCGGAGTCGCTGCCCACGGAACCGTCGGAATCTCTTCTGTCCTGATCGAACCCGAGGAACTCGGATAAATAATATTTCTCCAACCTGGAAGAATTCAAGAAACCGTCACTGGTGTTCGATCTATCCTGATTCTGACCGTTGGCTTCATCTTGACCCAGCGATTCCAGACCCTCGGAGTAGATCGACGAGGTCTCTGACAGGCTGTCGACCTCGCGCGAGCCCATGCTGGAATTATTCCCATCGCCTCCTAACCCGAAAAAGAAATACTTCTCCAACTCCGACGCGGAAGGCGGTCTCGGCTTCTTCGAGGGACTTCCCGCGGTCAAACTCGGCTCCGTCTCACTTTCCTCGCAGGATTCCTCGACGATGGTGTGCAGAGTAAAATCGATCGCTTGCCTGCGATAGCCTCTGAGCTCCTCCTCGCGATCCCCAAAATTGTTAGCTTCGTCCTCCGAGCTCTCCTCCGTGGCAGTGGTCGCGCCCGGCTCGTCCTCGTCGTGGGACACCTCCTCCACCCAGGAGTCATCGTCGGCCAGACCCTCCTCGAGGATGATGACCCCGCCGGCGCTGGACGTCTCATCGCTGGACTGTGACGAGGCGCGCGTTCGCGCACTCTCGCGACAATCCTTATTGGACACGTCATCTTGGCTCTCCTGCCGGCAACCGTAGGACTTTGGCACGTTCTTCGACGCGGACACGTCGTCACTTTCACTGGCACTGCCGACACTCAAGCCGCTGTCCGCCTCGAGCTCCGCCGATTGATGCCCCACGACCGCCGCCAGCTTCTTCACCATCAAAGGCACCTTTCGCGGAGCGTTCTTGCGCTGAGGCTGCGGCTCGCTCGCCGCTTCCAGCGCCAGCTGAAAGTAACTGGCCAGGCCGCCTTGGCTCCCGACCGAATGGATCTCATCCAATGGTTGCAGGAGCGTCGTAGTGTCCGACGTGACGACGCTCACCGGTTGGTACGAGGCTTCCTGGGTAATCATCACGAGGCTTCTGTACTTGTTGTTGTTGTTGTTGCCGCCGCTGTTGTTGTTGACGTTGTGAATGTTATTGCTGTTGTTGTGCTGGGCTGGGTCTCTCGCAAGATCCTTCGCCGACGTTGGACCGACGTCAGCTGGAAATCCATTCTCCTGCCGAGTGCACGGGCGTCGCTCGACTGAGCGAAACCGTGTCGCGTCTCCTTCCTCGGCGCTCTCACCACCACCACCACCACCGCTATCACTGTTACCATCACTATTTCCTCCCACCTGAACGACAATCTCGCCTCTCACCGTGCCGTCATGCGCAGTGTTGATCTTGCCGCCCGCGCCACCTTGTTCCTCCGAGCTCCTCGACGTCTCCTGAATCCTGCTGCTGGTTATTGCGTCGCCCACGTCGACTCCTACCTGTTCCGTCGGGTCGTTGTCTCTGGTCCCGCCATCTTGACGACGACACGTAACGGAACGATAACCCTCGTCGTCGTCGTCGTCGTCGTCTTCAGCATCGTCTTCAGCATTGTCTTCAGCATTCTCCTCAGCATCGCCATCATCCTTATCGATCGTTGTCTTTATCGAGTCGCTCGAAACTCGCTCGTCGATCGACTTCTCGAACTGAACGCTCCGTTTCGCGCCACTCTTCAGCATCGTCGGGCTTCCTTTGCCATCGCGATTACTGGGAAGACGCGAGCTATTTTCTTGGTCGATTTGATGATCGAATAACTTGCCGTTGCTGTAGTTGAAGAAGGATTCGACCTGGGTCACCTCGTACTCGTGAAGCTCGTCGCTGCTGATCTCGTTGCTGGTGCAGCTGTCGTTCGACGTGTCGATAATGACGTCGCCGTTCGAACAATTCGCCTCCGATAAACGTAGCTTCTTATCTCCCAGTCTCGCGCAATCGTTCGTTGCGATCAATCTCGCAATCTGTTCGACGTCGTAAGCTCGAGATTTTTCTTGACGATTCCTCGATTCCTCGAGAACTGACATTTCGGAGGAAACTCCGGAGATTTCGAGGGAATCCGGAACGATAGTCGGATCCCAGACGTCGCTCTCGGATGACCTTGACTCGATCGGTCCCGTGTCTGTCTTCGAGATGTTTACAGGTGAATCGATACTGTCGGGATCGAGCATTCTGATGGACTTCAATTCGATTCGATTATCGGAGCATTCGTTATCGTCGGCTAAATACATTTCCTCAGGGATCGATCGACGCTGTAGTAGGAGAGGAAGTTGCTTATCGCTGTTATCAGTACCGTTCTTCTTGCTACGATTTTTCCGCTTGTTCGCCAAATCAGCGACAGATTCATCCAGCCTCCTGGACTCTCTCAATTCATTCTCGCTCACTTCCGATTTACCGTCCACGAGAACGTCCTCGCTTAGCAGCCTCACGTGTTGCAGCACCACCGGCTCCTGTTCGGGAATCGCGCTGACGCGTTTCAAGGTCACGCCGCCTTCGGCCGCGAAATCCGAATCGTCCTCCGCGTTATCCTCGATGTCGTTGTCGCTGGTGAGCGAATCGTCGTTCACCACAAACACCTTGGAGAACCTGTGCGGCGAGCTCGAGTCCTCTTCAAGGTCGCTGCTGTCAGCCGACGATCTTCCGGACGAGCTGCCCGAGTCCTCTCGCGAATGCTGATACATCCCGCTTCTCTCGAAGGACGACGACAAGGAGTCCTCGCAGGCTGCCTCCTCGTTGCCTTCTTCAACCTCCTCGTCATCCCTTTTGCATTCCTCTTTCAAGCTCTTCGCCTCTTCCAATCTACTCTTCACGATGGAACAATCGGATTTATTCTTCTCCTCTTTCCTGAGGACCTCCTCGGTCCTCGACACGATTTTCGCTTCGTCTCTCACGTCCTGGGAAGCTTCAGGGTTCGCCGACGTCTCGGTTATCGGCCCGTACAGCCTTGGGGTCATCATCTGCTCCGGTGGATGGAAGGTGCAGGTCGTCGGGTCGAAGGTGCCGGCGAGCCGAGGGTCCAGACGCGCGCCATGTAACGGCTGGTTGAAACGAGGGTGCCAGGCGAACCAGGGTGCAGCCGGGTCGCCGCGTAACCTCAGGGTTCCCGACTCGGCGTGGCTCGACTCGCCGCGGCTTATCATCGATGACGCGGCCGCCGCGAAGTCGCCGGTCCACAGGGCGGCCGGTACCGGCACGGGATACGGGACCGGGACCGGGATCGGCACCGGCACCGGGAGCACGTTCGCGCTTCGGGAGCCGCCACAAGCCTGGATAGAACGAGGATGATCTCTGTATATCTCGGATAGCTCTTTTTTATTTTTTTTTTCAATTTTAGCCATGTATTTTTGTACGTGAGAACTTGCGTTTCTCTCATTTATTTTATTTATATTAATAAATTTATTTATTTTATTTATTGATAAATTTATCGAGATAAATAGTAATTTTAATATAAAAAAATAAAATTATTTATTATTAATATATGAATTATTATTATTACATTGAGAGAATTTTCTCTTAAAATTTACCCTGAACGAATGTATAATCGTGGGATAATATGGTGTTGGAAGAATTTTATAAGAGTTTCTCTGATTAATATTTACCACAATAAAAAATATTTAGATCTAGCTATTATAATGTTCAATTTTAGAAAAACAAAACTGTTTTATTGTTCTGATCTTGTATATTTACATTTTAAGATGATTTCGTTCCAATTGATTAATCTGATAAGTTTGATGATTAGATGATTATACTAAAGAACTTTAGACTCGGTTGCTTCCATACACGGTGAGAATTTTCTCTTATTAGAATTTACCCTGAAAATCATGGGACAAAATGATATTCGAAGAATTTTGTAAGAGTTTCTCTGATTAATATTTGCCATTTATGATTTCAGGGTAAATTCTAAAAGAGAAAATTCTCTCTAATTCTAATTATTTTCTAATTTCTTATTTTTTATATTATCTTTATGTATTTTTCATACATTTTATTTTTCTCTTATTAAGTAAATAATAAATTAATTTTTATTTTTAATTAAACGTAGAGAAAAATTTTTAAACGATGCAAATGTGATAAATTGTGCTGATAAAACATATATATCATGTATTCATTAAACAATAAATAAGCTGTATTTAATCTCTCGCATTTGACATTTCTCGTAAAGACATTTGTAACACCATTTTGACATTATTAGAATAAGTACTTACCATTTAAAAATTTATTAATATGTAAAATAAAAATCATGTATTTTCTATTGAGCTTCTTCTATTATTACAAATTGTGTCGGCGATAAAGAAGTATGTATGAAAAAAGCTGCATTTAATTTCTCGCGTTTGACATTTCTCATAAAGGCTCATTTATGTGACATTTCAACATTATTGAAATACAGTGCAATTTGTAAATCTAAAATTAAAATCTTTTGTTTCCCACTAAAATTGTTCTACTTGTACAAGCTGTCAACACAGAAATGGGTCAGCAATTTAAAAGTGATGACAATTTGTCAGCTTTGCGCTTATCGATCAACATAATCAGCATGAGGCGTCATTCGATATACGAAGAGAGACTGCAGAGCACAGTTTATCGACAAAGTGTGACCGTGAATTCCGCATAGCTGCCATGTGCGACTCTCTTCGCTAGTAGAACGTGAATGATTAATTTAGTTGTAGCAATGTATTTGTCAAACGGATGCACAGCGGCACTCAGTCGCGGTCACATAAATTGTGTTCATATCCATGAAAATTCTTTTCATCGCATTGTAATATCCTTCTCCTCGATTTATTTATAAAACTGTTTCGCGAATATTTATTTTTTGAAATTTATTTTTATTAGAAAATCAATCGAATAAAATTATCAGTCAAGTGACATTTAATCAGTTCAAATAATTGAAGATAGGAGAGACTATGTGCAAAACGCTAATAGAAATTATAAATCATATGTCCAATATAAATAAATACATATATTATTGTGCAGAATCTGCACGCAATAAATATTTAAAATTTCAATAAATTTTTTTAGCTGAGAAAAAATACTATATCGAAAGATTACGATTTGAAATTGGATTTTTAATTTTATATTCGAATAAATAAAAATATGCCTCAATTTCTGTATCAATTGAATATTTTAACTTTTTCAAGCATATCATACACGTATTTATATATTTATAAAATTTATAATATTATAAAATTTTTTCGCAAATAGATGCAGCAAAAATTTACATTTTTAAATTTATTTCATTAAAAATAAATTTTAAATTAGTCAAATAAAATCTCACTTATCAATCAAATAAAAATTTATTATAAACAGTGTTGTGCTTAGATGATTTTAAAATTAGCTAGATAAAGATGAAATAAAAATATATGTAAATAATTGTTTTAAATATATCTATATAAAATAGAAAAATTATATATGACAATTCATCTAGAAAATCTCCAGATAATATTATATTTTTAACACTGTTCATGTAAACACAATTATAAAAAAATATAAATTATAAAAGGAATATAAAAATATATTCATATTTTTATTTATAAATTCTTATCGCTTACTGCTTAAACTTTATTACCTAAGTATCTTTATGTGCTATGACTAAACCAAATTATCTGAACATTATTCTAGAAAATTTAATAAAGATAACACTTTTTTCTAAGATGCAGCTATGGATAAAACATATGTGTATTTTTATTATTTACATAAAGATAAGATGATGCAAAATTTCATCTAGATGATCTATAATTTTATTTAAATCACAATAAACACTGCTTATAATATATATTTAATAATTTAAAAAAAATATATATATATATTTATAATTAAAAAAAAATTACACTCACCTGGCAGGCGGCGGAGCCACGTCCCGGACAGCAACTCCAGACGTCCTGGCCGACGTTGATGACGTCCGCTGGGACGGTGACGGTCGGCGTCGTCGGCAGCGGCAGAGAACCGCTCTCGAAGTAGTCCCAGTCGCAGTCCTCGAGCGACTGCGCGTGATGATGATGATGATGATGATGATGATGGCCGCCGTTGCGCGGCAGCCCGTTCAGGTAGGACGAGCTCGAGCAGCTGCTGTCGGCGTCGTCCTCCTCTCGACCGGACGACGAGTCCGAGCTGATGAACACGAGCCTCCTGTAGTCGACCGCGGATGCTGCCTGCTCCGGACCGAGCGGATTGGGACTGCGCTGTCGACCTCCGCGGCCGATCAGGTTCAACGTCTGCAGGCTCTGCAGGTCCTCGCTGGCGCAACAGGACGATCTCGCGTGCGACCTTCCGCGTCGTCGCGAACCTTTTGCGACAATCGTGAACAATTCGTTAATTCTTAGCTTGTTGTTTCTATGTCGGGCTGATTCAGAGATAAAGCGATAAGATCGTAGAGACGGAGAGATAAAAGACGGGGTCCTCTGATAAGTTCTATTTATTAACATGCTGGTAGCCGCTTATCGGTTTCATCGATTTAGCACCAGGAATTTATAGCTTCAAAATAATACAATTCTTCGGCTCTTGTAATTCATCAAAAATGCCAATAAAATAGAGAGAGTCCACAGTTGTTGGAGAAAAATATACATATGTCGGGATCAAACATTGTTTTAAAAATACACTTAAGTTTATTATGTGGATTCGCAAAAAAACATCAGGAAAATGCAAAAAATATAACAATTCTTCAGCTCTTGTATTTAATAAAAGTGCCAATAAAATAGAGAGAGAGAGTCCAAAGTTGTTAAAGAAAAATATGCATATGTCATCGAGATCAAAAAATTGTTTTAAAAATGCACATAAGCTTATTATGTGGATTCGCAAAAAAAGATCAGGAAAATGCAAAAAATATAACAATTCTTCAGCTCTTGTATTTAATAAAAGTGCCAATAAAATAGAGAGAGAGAGAGTCCAAAGTTGAAGAAAAATATGCATATGTCATCGAGATCAAAAAATTGTTTTAAAAATGCACATAAGCTTATTATGTGGATTCGCAAGAAAAGGCCAGGAAAATGCAAAAAATATAACAATTCTTCAGCTCTTGTATTTAATAAAAATGCCAATAAAATAGAAAGAGTCCAAAGTTGTTAAAGAAAAATATGCATATGTCGAGATCAAAAAATTGTTTAAAAAATGCACATAAGCTTATTATGTGAATTTGCAAGAAAAGGTCAGGAAAATGCAAAAAATATAACAATTCTTCAGCTCTTGTATTTAATAAAAATGCCAATAAAATAGAGAGAGTCCAAAGTTGTTGAAGAAAAATATGCATATGTCATCAAGATCAAAAAATTGTTTTAAAAATGCACATAAACTTATTATGTGGATTCGCAAAAAAAGTTAAAAAAAATGCAAAAATAATGCATAGCAATCTAATGAAGAGAAACGTCATAGCGATACCTCCGGGCTGAGAATGCGACTGCACTTTAACAGAGAGAGCATCCTCTGCGGAGTCTCATTTATAAGCAAGAAGCGGCGAACAAATTACGATGCAATTAGAAGGGAACATGCGCAAAACTGTGCGCTAATGTTTTCTCCCAACTCGAGGAACTCTAACTTCTGAATGTTACGACCATGTAAATTTTGCTTACGATGCTAACGAACTGGTGGTGAATTCCAAATTCTGATGATTACAAATTCATGATACGACTGCGCGCTGATTCATTAATTCTCTAAAATCAATTACATTAGTTAATTGCCAAAAAACTGATGATTAAAGCATTATTCTGCTTAAAATTTGTTAGCATATAAATAAATATTTATTATATTGATTTAATAAGTAAATTTTTAATAATAAATATATTTATTAATAAATATACTTATAATTAATATATTTATAAATATATTTATTAATAAATATATTTATTATTAAATAATAAAATATATTAATAAATTTATTAATAAATTATATATATATATATACATAATTATATATACATATTATATATATTAAAGGTATCTATTACACTTATCAAAATTTAATTCAATTTTATTTGTATTAAATTATGACGTTATTGAAAGATGCAGTAATGCTATATAAATGTCAAATATTTAATTTACAAAGCGAAATGTTTTTTTTTTTCAATTCTCTGCTTATTTTAATAAAAAAGGCGATGTAATGCGTTTTTTAAAGAGGTCAAAAACCTTACATTATACATATATCGTATGCTAATATAGTAATGATACGAAAGTAGTATGATAATGAACGACGTAATAATGCATCATGCACGAGCGCGAGACTTTTGTACTTTGTTACTTCGACATACGCATACATATGCGTTACTGGTACGTAGGAGGATTGAATTTATATCTATTGTGCGCTCCGAAACAATGCAATTTTATATATATATTGCGCTGGCGGAACGGCGTGGCGTTTAAATCTCTGCCTGGTCACGTTGCTTCGTCTTGAGATCTTGAGATTCTGTGTGTATGTCTGCCTCTCCTCGTGTCTTTTCTACTGTATGCAATTATGCGCGCGTAGATGAATCACATACATACTTCGCGCAAGAGCGATTCCGACTGCCTCAAACAACAAACGGAATACGAAACAATCGTAGCATTTTTTTTCATAAAAATTCGCGAGAGATCCTTGCAAAAATATTTATTTAAAAAATCCGTTCTTTTACATTTCTCGATAAAAGAGATAAATCTTTCATTTCTTCGCCCTATATAAGGATTTTACGCTGGGATCAAATATCGAAATTATATATTATATTAATTTATTGATTTTTTAATTAATTTTTTATATTTTATATTTTATTATATAATATAGAGGAGAGAATATAGATATAATAGAGATATATATAGAGATATATAGATATATATATATATATATATATAGATATATATATACCATATACCTATTATATATTATATATATATATATAATATATATATATAATATATTATATATTATATTATATATATATATATTTATATTTATATATATATTATTTTTTATTTTATTAACTTTTTAATTATATTTAATTCCATGATTAATTAATTAATTAATTATTTAAATTTTTCCTCGAACGATCAGCTGATCCTTTCGAGAGATCTCGCGATTTTTCCTCGCTGTTATGATTAAATTCTCGTTTTCAGAGCTCGTTTATGCAGCAAGGTGCTTCTTGCGCTGATAGGAGAGATAAGAAAGAAACGGGACACGGTCAGGTGTCGCGAGGCGGCTCGTCGTGAATGGCGGCATGTAAAGGAGCATGGGAGAGGGCACAGAATCGGGGAAACCCGCTCCGTTGGCGCGCTTTTATGCCCGCTTTTTACGCGCCGCTGAATTACCTGGTCAATGGCACGAGGGCGGCCCGTCGTCTCTGTCCGCGTGTGTCTGTTTCCCCTTTCCCCGTTATCACTAACCAGGCCTTCTTGCACGGAAAAAATTAAGCATTTGCTCTCCTTTAGAATAAACACTGGAATTTATTTGCATATTAAATACAAAAAAATAAAAATTAAGAATTAATTTAAAAAATAATTAAATAAAATTAGAAATTTATTTGAAAAATAATAAAAGAAAATTAAGAATTAATTTAAAAAATAATTAAATAAAATTAAACATTTATTTTAAAAATAATGAAATAAAATTAAGAATTAATTTAAAAAATAATTAAATAATTAATTTTAAAAAATTAAGAAATAACAAAAAAATTTAATAATGCTCCTCTCTGGAAAAAATCCTGCGGACCGCTTTTTGATTATTCTCATGAATGATCCGCTCGAAAAAGAGATTGCGAGAGAAAGCGACAAGAGGAAGGAAAGAGGAAGGAGAGATGGACCGGAAGAAAGAGGGATTGGCTGAATAGAACGCATTTGAAATGCGAAATAACGGAAGTCGCGAATCTGGGGCTTAATCCGATAAGAATCGAGAGATTTGAGAATGAGGTAAATTCATAATTTTTTTCAGAATTATCTGAAGTCTGTGCAATTATATTTGTCGCTATCTATATTTGATTGGTTACGGATATTTTTGTGAATAAGCATGTGCTCTCTTAAAAAGAAAGTATCAAATAATTAATGTCTTACATGTACCTTTTAATTTAATATTGTATACATTTAAGCGACTTGTGCACGCTTTCTTTTGCATGAAATACGTTTATATTTATATTTTTCCTCATAACTTGAATATGAAGATTATTTTAAAATTTATATTTTATTCATGAATCCCTTCAATTTATCTCATTTAATTCATATACGTTGTGATAGAAAGTGTATATTTAATTCATTGCTTAAAACACTTGAGATTTTAAACCATGAAGGCTCTTTAAATATACAAAAATACAGATGAGTTGAATAAATAATTTTATCTCTGTTTTTTTTTTAATATTTAATATTTTAAAAACTAAGAAAATCAAATTAACTCACTCAAATCAAAAGATTCGAAAAAAAATAAAATCAGGAATATATTGTATATGAAACTAATTTGCCACAGCGTCAGATTTAAATTTATGCAGAAAAAAATTTGTCGCAAAATTTCCAAGCAATAATGCTTCTTGCAATAAACAGATCGACGTCAAACACATCACAGAAAAAGTCCTTGAATTTTCGCGAAAGCTTCGCAAAATGTCACGTCGATGTCTGACATTATCTTATGTTATCTGTCAATGTCCCGAAATAAAACGAACAACAATACAAAAACTCGTTGTAAATTTTACCTCAGATTTTCACCAACATCAGCCTTTTTACTTCTGTCCTTGACATGTCGATGGTTGTTATCGTAAGAAGATACATATAATATCCAAAAATAACTACACGATCACAAATTTTTATACTTCAACAATTTTTCTGAAATATTTTTCACAAAGAAACTGAAAAAATTTAAAACACAAGAGAGAGAATTTTTCAAGAAAAGGCTTATTTATCACGAAGACACGTATGTTAATATATTATTCCGAAGAGACCAAGGGGTGCTTTGATCACAAAAAGCTTTTTGGCGACGTTCTTATTTCAGAACAAAATATGCACATTGCATGAGAAAATTGCACTCTTTTTGAAATAATTTTCTCCGACATATAAAAAAATTCACTTATACGTTATTAAAAAAATATATATATCTTCTCAATTTTTCATATCTCGTTTGCCGTATAATTATTTAAAAATATTCCTCTTACAGGCGATTCACGAGAGGATTCGAAATGCGCTCAACTGTCACTTTGAAACGTCAAAAAAATAAAATAATTTTCTCTGACATAAAAAAATTCACTTATACACATTAACAAAAAAATGTATGTATATCTTCTCAATTTTTCATATCTCGTTTGCCGTATAATTACTTAAAAATATTCCCCTTACAGGCGATTCACGAGA